CTTTTGGTGTTTATTGCTAATAACTTGTCGTGGTGAAGTTTTTTGACAAACTTCGCACCTCCTTTAAGTAGTTTATGGGGTGCTAGATAACTTTATTTAAGAGCCGGATATCAATTTACTTAATAAGTTTTTGAGAAAATGCCACGGGAAAGTTTTTTCTTCTTGTTTCTAATTTGGTAAAGTGATCTATGGGAAGAGTTTTTTTTATTCTTCTTATTATTGTATAGTGTAATATTCTTCTTCTAGAGTAATTTCTATAGTCAAGATTATTACTGTAAATCTGTTATCTAATAAAATACTAATATTTATAAACTATTATTATCTTAAACTATTTGTCTCTTGCTATGAAGTAAAAAGTATATACTTCATATCCATCTTGTATATATTTATAAAGTATATCACTGTACTGGGTAACTTTTTTACTTTATTATAATTATACTTAAAAGGCTATAGCATTATAACACTAGGCATTGCCAGGTTCTAAAAGTTAATATAATTAAATCTAAAAATTAGAAAAAAATTAAAATCTCAAACCCAGATTTCACTAGGTTCTAAATACTAGTAAACTCTCTATAAGTTAAACTTTACCAAGTTCTACTAATTCTTACTAAGTTTTCTCTTTTTATTAAAGCAAAAAGATAGATCTTAAATATTTTTTGATTTTTACTATATACATAATAGCTATGTTCTACTAATTTACTATTTACTCTAATTCAATTATACAAATTCAAAAATGACAATATAATATAAAGTTGTATCTGCTTAGAAAAGAATACAAATTTGAACTAGCTTAAATAGATACAAGATACAAATTGTATCTTACTATAAAGAAAATTTTTAATTTTTAGCAGTGTTAATTTTTTTTGCTTTTTTTGTATTAGATTGTATAGTAATAATAGTAAAAATAATACTAATAATATATCAATAATATACTATAGTGCACTAACCAAAGTATTTCTCTTTTTTAATATCCTCTCTTGCAAAGTACTCTGTGCAAAACATGAGACCACTATTAATTAATATAGGTTTTTTTTAAATTTTTAGACTGCGTATTATATAAGTGCAGAATATTTATATGCTTGAAATTTTTTTTCTTTATTACTAGCCCGCTGCTATATAATATACCCAGGTATTTTGTAAGTTTTTTGTTGAGTATTTTGTATTAGACCCCGGGTCTTTTGGTTAGTACACTATGGTAATAATAATAAAAATAAAGTAAAAATTATAAATTTGAAAACTCCTGGGGTGCTTACAATATATGCTAGTGGACAACTATTTTATAAAAGCAATTAACAAGAATTTAAAAAATTTTAAAATTTATAATAACTTAAAATAGTTTATATTATATAGTTATTGTATAAGTAAAAATATATATATGGGTATTGAACAGTGGCAAGTGATTGGCAGATCATGCCGCAGAGTAGCATGATCTAAGCCAATCACCTGCGCCATTCAATACCCACATGAATATATTTTTTTACCTATGCTAATAATGATATTATCGTATAGTAGTTATCGATGATTATACTATTATATCATATTAGTAGTTTATTTTATTATATGAAAAAAATAAAATACTTTTTCGATCAGGTTTTCTTTTTCTTAATTTCAAAATGCCCAAAACTAAAAAAAAAGAAAAAATTTATCAAAAACCAACTGAAGAGCAATTATCATATTTACGTAACAAGTCTAAAGTTAAAAATACTTATAGATCAACACAAAATTGGATCAATAAATTTCAAGAATATTGTTCAGACATTGGACTAGAAGGGGCACCAGAAAATATAGATGATACTTCCAAACTAGAAACACAACTTTATGAATATTTTACTGTAGCTAAAAAAAATAATAGATCAGAATATACAGTATCATCTCTTTTGTTTACAATTAGGGCAATTAATAGATTTTACAATTCGAATATTAGTAAAGTCACACCTGTTGATTTGTGCGACAAAAAGTCATTTCCTAGTTTGTAGGAAATACTTGATGAAAAGACCTGAGACCTTTCTGAAAAAGGCTATGGTAAAATTAATAGATTTGACTCATTATCATTTGAGGAGATTCAATATATTTTACAATATGAAGCAACATCAAGGGATAAACCAAGTGGATTATTAAATTGAGTTTTTTTTTACAATGCAATTTTCTTAGCTCTATGTGGTGGTGAGTACTACACTATGATGGCTAATCAATTTCATAAAAGGAAAGATGGTGGCTTTGATATTTTTATTTATAAATCCAAAACAAATCAATGTGGATTGAATAATCTTGGTTCTGCAGATAAAATATTAATTCCTGCTGACAATCCTAAAATAATTGCAGATTATGAGAAATATTTCTCAAAGCAGCCAGTTGATGCTAATCCTGGATTTTATTTACATCCAATTGATACAAAATCTGCTCTAGGTATATACATACATATATTATATATTTGTTATTAATATTAATATATAATGCATAATATTTACATATTTAAAATAGATTATTCATCAATTAAAGTATAGTACAAAAAAACTCAACTTGGACAATTGAAATTAAAAACTTTCATGAGAATACTTGCTGAAAAAACTGGTATTAATTGTGAAGATTATAAAATCACTAATCAAGCAGGTCGTAAAACACTTATACAATAATTAAAAGATATTGGTGCTAATGATTATAAAGTATCTACAATTACCAGACATCGGTCTCTATCTGGAATTGCTAGTTATGAATAACCAAAAGATAGGGTTCAAAAATCTGCTCTAGCTAATTTAATGAACGCAATAGATTCTAATGAAACTATAAAAATTTCTCAAAATAAACCCTCCATTACACTTCCTACAAAAGATTTTTATTAGAGTTTTAAATTTGCACAACAAGTTTATCAAAGTAAAATTTTTTGCTTTTTTTTGAATAATTTTTTTTGAATCTAACTTATTTTTTACGCAAATAGCAAATCTTGCTTCAAGTATGTCTTCTACTTTGACAACTCAAGATGCTTCTCTACTTACACCACAACCAGCAAATTCACATGAATTTCAAAATTCTAAAGTTCCTTTACAGGAATTACCATTGGTTTCAAATCAAAATCATGAAATGCAAGAATTTTTTCAAAGGAATTTGTTTATGAATTCTAATATTACTTTTTATATACATAATCATTACTATACATTGCAACAATAATGCTTTGAATTTGATTTTTAATAAATAATACTTCATGCTACTCTATTGCAAATATAAAAATTTTAAAATTTGACCCGAATTATGTATTTTTTATTTTGGTGATGATAATTTTAAAAAACTTGAGCTCAAATTAAGTATTTTTGCTCTAATAATGATAAGTTTAAAAAATTTTTAGACCAAATTATGTTTTTTAGCTACGATATGTAATAAAAAATATAATAAAATAAACTATACAGATATGCAAATTTTTAGTATAGTTATCAATAACATGGCTATACGATAATATAAAAAATTAGATAAATTTAATATGTATAGTAAATAATACTTTTACCTTTATTAAAGACAACAATTCAACTAAATAAAAATACTTTGTATTATAGAAATTAAGAGTTTTGCTTTATAATTGAAAAATAAATGCCAAAAACTAATTAATATAACACTTAACTTTATATTGTTGAGTTTATAATATAGTCTAGTATTTTAAGTATTCTAATTGCTCGAAACAAAGTTTTCTGCATAGTATTTGGATAGTACTACAGGTAGCTGTAATTGTTATTCGTGTGATCTTATTTTGTGCCTTATTTTAATTAAGAACCAGTTATGCTTTTCTTAATTTAAAAAAGGTAAGACTGGATAGAAAGAATATAAATAAATAGTTACACTTGTATAAAATTAACAGGAGCAAGGAATTGATATTAAATATAATATTAATCTGCAATAAAGATTAAATTATTATGAAGAATTGATTACTGAATATTATATAAAACCTTTAAGTTTAGAGATTTGTTATTTATATACAGTATTAAATTTACAATATTAGAACAATAATACTACTAATAGCCAAATATATTGATATAATTACGTATAAGATATGAATTTAGACATGAAAATTATATTTGAATATAAAGCTTATCTAAAACTTTGACAAATGCTATTATTTTTAGAGCTTTAATCTATTTTATATTAAGTTTAATCTAGAACTTTGGCTTAACTGATTATTAAAAATTTTTTAGTTAATAATATTAGAGTAGTTAGCAATAGATATTATATATAAATTGTGTATAGTTAGCAAACTAAATGCAGATTCAAATATATAACATTATGACAAATGTATAGCTTATACAAAAATTTTGCGATAATTCAAATTATATTTTCAATTGTATGATTTAATTAAAGATTTATAACAGATAATTATTTATAAATTTGACTGTCTAGGTCTGTTATGTATAGTTATGTGACATAATGGTTATATATATTGCTTGGTATTGTATATTAATTAGAATGACAATAAAATATTATTAATAAAATATATTAAGTCATAATTTAAAAGCTTAGCAATATATCTTGTTTTTAATTAATATTAGATCGATTATCTCATTTTTCATTAAACTTAGCCTATTTCTTAATAAGAATTGGTCAGATGTTTCTAAACCAGAAAAGGAATTTATCATTATTTAATTTAAGTCGATACTTTTATAAAATAGAGTTCATCAAGATTTTGATGTATCGACTTTTGAATCACTAAATTTATAAGTGCATTTTGGATCTTTGTATTTTTTATTTTTTTTTATCTAATTTTTTATTTTTTTTGTTTTACAGTTGAAATTGATTTGTTGAGCTTTCGAAATAACTATAAGGCCACACAAAGTTGATTTTTTATATTGTATTACATGGATTTCGTAATTCCAATCAAGCAGATTTTTTTAAAAAATCATACAGTAAATTAAAGACTCATGTCAAATATAAGAATATGCAAAGCTAATTTTCACTTTGCATAACATGAATCAGAAAATTGGGGAGGTAGTTGAAATTTTTTCTATCTGACCTATCAGTTAATTCTAGAAAAATAATGCTATTAGGTGATACTAAATTAATTTATAAAAAAAAATATTAAATAGTAATAATAGAATAATTAGCACAATTGGAACTTAAAAATTTTTTTTTTGAAAATTTTAATAAATAGATCAGCACATAAAGCGAAATGATAAATTAATTTTAATTTAAAAAAAAAGATTAATAGTCATGTTCCTCATTTCTCAATTGTTTCAAGAAGTTTTTAATACAAGTTTCTGATTATCATTTTTCATAATTAGTTAAAATTAGCTATGTATAATAAAACCAATTCAAGAAATAGCTTTTAGAAACTCAAGTCAGAATTATTATTATATTTTATCTGGCAAACTCATATAATCATAAAAAATTTCATTTTATAATTTTTTCATGTGTTATGATATAATTATGTTTATTCTAGTATCCAAAATTAAAATTCAGTGAGTGACTCCCTATCAATCTCATAGGCAGACATTCGTATGATTGGCAGTTTAAATTAAAATAATTTTACATTATTTATACAGTTTAAAGTACTTTTTAAAAAATGAAGAATAAACAAAAAAGAAGTATATAGAAAGTTTTATTGAGGTTGTAGGACTCCACTATTAAAAATAATCAAAATTCTTTCTTGTTTTAGAGAAATTAGCATAATAGTAACTTCTTAACGATAGTTAGAATTAGGTTATCACCATGCTAACTTCTCTAAAACAAAAAAGAATTTTGATTAATTTTAATAGTAGAGTCCTACAACCTCAATAAAACTTTCTATATACTTCTTTTTTGTTTATTCTTCATTTTTTAAAAAGTACTTAAACTGTATAAATAATTTAAAATTATTTTGATTTAAACTGCCAATCATACGAATGTCTGCCTATTACTACCAATCATGATCATAAATTGCCAGATAACTAGTGCTTGGATCTACAGGTAGGAACATTGATGTTATACAACTGATTTTTCACACAGTGTGCAGTATATAAAAAAATAAATTTACAATACCAGATCATTCCACTAGTATATGTTATGATTATAATCCAACACTATTTTTATTAGTAAAAATGGTGTTGGATTATTATCATAACATGTACTGTCGGAATGATCTGGTATTGTAAATTTATTTTTTTATATATTGCATACTGTGTGAAAAATCAGTCATATAACATCAACGTTCTAGCTGTAGCTTGGATTCGTTCAAAAAATCTGGTAGATTTTCTGTTAGATATCTGTTCATATCGGATAATGAAAATATTTCTGCAGATAGCTGGATATCTATTAAACTACCCGATACTTTCTTGTTATCTGGCATGATGTGACAGATACATGGGTATTTAGCAGGATGATAGCAAAAGCACGTGGCTGAAGATCACATGCATTGCTATCATCCTGCTGAATACCCATGTATCCATCACATCATGCCAGATAACTAGTTTATCCGGCAGGTATAACGTATACATTGACGGAACCATATTATTGCCCAAATAAACCTTTTTTAATTAATAAATAATAAGAACTGATAATTCGATGATAAATATATATATAAATGATAAAATGAACAAGTTTGTTTTAATTTTATTAATAATAAATAATAAGAACTGATAATTCGAATGATGAATATATATAAATGATAAAATGAGCGATTGTGTTTTGATTTAACTCTCTCTTTAATATTTCAATGTCACATAATAAATTACCAACCAATAAAGACATTTCAGTGCTACTTAAAATTTTACGAGTACACAGTACAGATAAATATATAGCAAAATGGTTATGGGCAGTCGACAGATATAGAGAAATATCTGATTATAGAAAATTATTTGAAAGCATATCCAAAATTGTTGAACTCGAAGACTTCCTCTGCAAATTTATCACATGGCTAAAATGAATAGATGGGAAGGAATATAAAGCTGAAAGTATCCACAATTGTTATGCTTCGCTTGCATGATATTTAAAAGAACATTCAACAATAAAGCTGTGTAATATATGGGACTCTTACAAATTTGGAAAAGCCTTACGAATCATGGATGGTAAAATGAAAAAACTACAAAAAGAAGGATTGGGAGAAATCTATCAGGCTGCTGCTCTTAGGGTGGATAAAATTTTTCAAGTTTTAGATCATGAATCCATGTCTGGAAATGATAATGAAAGTTTGGTATAATATGTGTTTTTTTGGCTTTCACTACTTTGCGGTTTGCGAGGTGGTGATACTGCTAAATTAAAAGTGAATGATATAAGCCGCCAACCTCATGTGGATTGTTTCTTGTTCTTATACATAAAAAAAATAACCAATGAGGTGCCTTGAAATGTAATAAATATAGAAAATCAGCTGCAAGAAAATTACTGATCCCTTCTGACAATCCAAATAATTGTTTCAAACCTGTTTATGATATTTGAAAAATGATCTCTCTCTGTCCTCTTAATGCTAATGATGCACTATTCTTGGAAACCAGTAGAGCCAAAAAAGGTACGTATATAAATATATACATATGTTTATTCATATTTAATATATACATATTAATATATTAATATTACTTTATTCTCGATATACTGCACAAGATTTACAAAAGGACGTATGGTTCAAAACTAGTCCTATGGGTGAAAAAAAATTAGAAACAATGATGTCACAAATTGCTGATTTGACTAAATTCAATTTAGATAATAGATGCAAAATTACTAATCATTCATTACGTAGAATAGCAATTCAGAGACTTAAAAATTTAAACGTTCCAGAAGATGAATGAATGGAATTTTCAGAACACAGAAGCCGTGAAGGAATAAAGGCATATAATAATTCAAATGATAATCAAAAAAGTCAAAATACTGCCTTATTAATTCCACTTGATTATGATGACTTATCATATGAAGAATTTAATTACTTTCCTGGCAATAGTGTAAATTTTTTGAATTATGAAAGTAATCCTGAGATTTATGATAGTATTTATTTATCATTTATTTATGTATCTAACAATAAATAGTAAAATATGTAGTAAT